TTACCTGGACAAAATGTTAATCCCCTAGAACTCGATTTGTTGGGTTTAAATGTTGACATATCTTCTACAGGTATAGAATAAATATAATATTTATAAATATGTCATTACTTATTACCATCATGACTGCAAATTTTAGGTGGTAATAAAAGTCAAAAGTGGTCTAGTTTACATTCAGATTGAAGTTCACCCTCACCACAGCCCCAAAGAATGTATACTTGGATGTGTTAATAATGAGTAAATGGGATTGGGAGTATATGTATATTGTAGTTTGTGACATTTAACGATTATAAAATGTTTGTATTCAAAATGGACTATAAGCTATTTATTTATTATTCTGTTGGTGTGTTACAAAGATACTAATATTAAAACTAAATTACAGAATAATATTTGAGTAGTACATTTGATAGTTAATAATTCAAATTAATATAGAAACATGCTTTGGATAGAAATAAAAAAAATTGTGTTGTAACATTGAAAAATAAAAGTTCTCGTTCCCACTAGTTAAGAGTGGCCTGTGTATAATTCCACTTTTTATGTATAAATTATCATTTTTATTTTTATTTTTTGGAATCCATTGAATGACTCTCCAAGAACTAGTAGTGAAAATTTAACCACTAATGTAACAGACCAAAAATCATCTTCTCTTCAGCAAAATTTGCTTTCAGAAAATAAATAAATAAATACTTCTTTTTTACTTTATGTAAAAGTGGGAAACTTTTTATGATGAATTGTTTTGGTTAATTTTTTCATATTATGTATTTAGTTTTTTATTGACTTATTTAATTTAATAATCAAAAAACAATTTGGCATTTTAACAATTTAACTATGTTAAAACCTGACTACTTTACTTAAATATGTGTACATAATATTTTTAGAATATAGGCTTTAATGTTACATGTTTTATTTATTAATAAAGATAAGTTATTAATCATTGTTTTGTTTTACTTGCCAATGTAATGTTGTAAATTAGTTTTTATTGTAGTTTTGGTAACAATTTTACCTTTCTTATTATTTTTTTTTTTTTTTTAATAATCAATGGAAATCAGTATTTAAGAACAACTATTTTAAATGGAGTTCAGTCTTAGTTGGCCTTTTTCCATGCATTGTGTTCAATGTTAATTTTTGTGCTTTTATTATTTGTGTTAATCAAATAACATTAATCATAGTTGTATAATAAAATTTACAATAATTAGAAAAAATGTAGAAAATGTCAACAAATATTCCCAATTATTATTATTTTATCAGCACACTTAATATTTATTATTATTAAAATTGTTATTATTATTACAGGCTCCTTTTTAATAAATTGCAAGGTAGTATTATTAATTTAATAAATTGTTATATCACTATTTTAATGTTTTAAAATCTTCCTCAGTTTTATTTCTTTAATTTATAGTAATATTACAATCTAAGGTTTTTAAATTTATAGATTTTGTCCTGTTCAAATTTTTCATAGTTGTTTGTAACTGGTATATTATTAAAACTAATCTGAAAATGAACATATTTAGTTAGGGTCAACACATGCAAAACCTAAATATAAACAATGTGCTCATACTCTATGATTTTAAATAACCTCTTTATAAGTTGAATATTATTTTTTGTTAAATTAATTTTCTTCTTCTTGTTCATCCTAGTAAAAGATACTGGATTACATTATTCAATTCCCCTGGTCAATTTAATTATTTTTATCAAATGAGTATTTCGTCTATCCTTGATACAAGGAAGTGAATAATATAGAGGTAAAATTTCTACATAGACTTAATTTTTTCAGCTTGTATGGTATTGATTTAATACAATACAAATTAAAAACATATTATTATTTACTTTGTCATACTTCAATATTTGTGATAAAATAAATGATTAATGAACTGAATTAATTATAGACAATATTTCTCTCAATTCAGGCTACTTCATGTGTGTTCAGTGGCTTATTTAGGGGGGGGGGCAATTGCCCCGGGGCTCCAAATTCCGAGTCCTCAAAGCCTCAAAGGCTAGAAGTTATAACAAAATTATTTTTTTATTTTATTGGATTTGTTGAGAAATTATATTAGTGATAACTGATAAGTAAATACCTGTATCTGTCTTACATCTTTTAGTTTTTACATTTCTATGTTATATATATATATATACAGGGTGATTCTTTTATCAAACAACACTCATCATTTGAAAAATATTTAAAGTGTTGTTTGATAAAAGAATCACCCTGTATATATTATATATAATGTATTTTATTAAATTGTCGTAAAAAAAGGATAAAATGCTAAAATCAAAATTATAATTTGTTTATTTAATTAGGAATAAACGAAGCGTTAAAGGTAAAATAAAAGTGTTCTCTAAATTAGTGGAAGCATAAATGCAAAAGATGAAAATATACATTTTGGGTTATTAATTATCACTTTAACATGGCTTGAAACCGATTGAAAAAATTTCTGTTTTGGTTTCGATGTGTACACCGGTTTCCAATTTTTTTCGGTTTTGGTTTTGGATTTTGTTATCGGTTTGAGTTTTTAAACGGTTTATACCGGTTTCAAAAATCTGTTTCAAGACCTTGACTATTTACGTTCATTCTTAGTTTATTATTTTTTTTTGAATTGCTGGATCGAGCGTCCGATCGCCTATTGTGTAAAGTAAACTTTCCAAAATGTCAAGATACAAAGATTTTCAAAAAAAATACCGTTTTTTAAATTATATTTTCAGTTTCCAATTTTTTCGGTTTCGGATTTGATTTTGTTTTCGGTTTCATTACGGTTTATATCGGTTTCAAGCCCTGCACCATTAATTGAGAGAAAAAGTAAATTGTAAATTAGAGTTTTTTGTGACCATGAGTAAAAGGAAACTGAGAAAAAAAGGGGCGCCAAAATGTGTGTACCCAAAATCTTAAATACGCCACTGATGCTGTTGTAATATCCTTTTGCACTCTACAGACTACCAGTGTTGAAACAAATACTTAAAGCCTATCTCTAGCTTAAAGAGGATTAAGAATTACCTATCTTATGTGCTATGTGCAGTGCTTGAGCTGGAAAAATAAAAGAAACTATGCTTTTCAGTTTTAAACAGAGGGTGAACCACTATACATAATTTTGTTCACCAGATTACAGATTTCCAATGATTTCCAAATATTTGTATTGGTAGGTACTTTGAAAAATAATAATCTTTGAGCTATTTTATGATCTACATTAAAATATCGTGTAATTAAATGTTTTGTTTTAAAACAATAGTGTAAAAACTTTGTATGAATATAATTTGACCTTTTAATTCAATACATTACTGTATACATTATGTACTTACCTAAACATCAAAATATCCATGTATTTTTAAAATCTTTTTGTTGTAACTTCTAATTTACCTCTCTTGGATACCTCTTATTTTGTGCTACTTGTGAAATAGTACGAGATACCTACTAATGAACATCTGTGTAATATTTTAAGCTAAAATAAAATAATGAATTTGAAAACAAGACTAAATTTAACATCAATAACTATGTTCATAAAAATTTGAATAAATAGATAGATTTATAATGTATACAATTTAAATATTAATTGATTAAAACTTATTAAAAATCTATTAAAACACATATTAAACAGCAAGGTTGTACCAACCTACCCAATCTAAAACCCCACAGTTCCATCACCACAGCCAATGGCCTGTTGCCTAGGGGTTATCCAATTAAAAAAAAAAGAAAAAATAATATTAAGAAATAATACTAACTGTTATATAAGTTAGTTGTATTATATAATAATAAATAATTAACCCATTTTGTATTTTGAAAAATCTATTTCTTCAAATTTGAGTAAAAATGCACTTATTTTACTGTTTCCAATAGGCTTTGGCTTAAATAATAGTCTTAGTAAATAACGCAACGCGTACAAACACGTTCAAGGCAATCAATTTTTCAAAACCCATACGCTCAGCTTAGTGCTTGCTATTCAAGTTTTTACAGTTCATTGAACAGATATGAATGCTCTTAAATCACATGCTCTCTGTATGCACCAAATAGTATAAATAAAAAACATATATATTAAGTATAATGTAAAAAGATTATTGATTATTTAATCAAACGTTTAATTATCAATTTGGTTTTATTACATATAGGCACATAATTCTTCAATAATTTTATAGTAGATAAAAATACAATATTTTTTTGTTACAAGTCATTTTGAGGTTTATATTAAAAAATTGTCAAAAATATTGACATCTTACAATATAAATACAAATGACAAAGAAAAATAAATAATTACACATAATATAGTTATTACATTAAAAGACAATTATTATTATAAATATGTTTTTAAAGGTTACAATTCAAAAGCAAGAACACAGCAAATCTAGTTAAAAATATTAAAACATTTTGATTTTACAAAAATGTAACACAAATATAAGTAGTTGTATTCTTCTATAATTTAATAAAAAGTGTGGTGCGGAATTAGCCCCATACCTTACATCAGTAGAACATTCAATGATTACAGAGTTCAAAATCTATTGTTTAAGTAAAAATGAATTGAATTTTTTCTAATCTTTAGATAAAAGTCATGCTGGAATAAGAATATAACCAGGGGTGCATATTATTTACATTTGTTACGCTCGAACGGCTTCTATTTTCTTGTGTGTGTTACTTGAGCATGGACGCATGGTGAATAATAATAATTAGAGGTGCTGACGGCAGAAGACGGGTAGAAGTTATTTTGTGCCGGCCCAGAAATGCAACTGGTCAAATTCTTAATCTAGCATGAGTCTACATACAAAATATAGCATAGTGAACATTCTGAAAATTATATTTTTGGTTGTACTTTACAATTAACTAAGTCTGCACCACACTTATAGTTGTGTAATAATAATTAATTTGTCATAGAATATTAATACTGACGACTTATTGCCAAAAAAATAAAGAACAAATATTATATAATAAAATAGGTGTATTAAAAAAAAAAAAACAAATAAAAATATGTTGGTGCTCTATAAAAAAATTTCTTAGTATGTTAAAAATAAATCTAATCGTATTTTCAAGTAACAGTCAATGCAGCCCGTTTTGGTGTAGCCTGAGCCTGTGATGACGGGCTGTTTTCAAATGAATCGTCCGTATGTTGTTTGGGACTGCGCACTGGTGGAGAGGGCAATGGACCTAGATCAATATCTGCAACTCCACTATCTCGATTTTCTGAATTGCTATTAACTGATCTAAATATTAAGGCAAAATAATATAAATTAAAATAATAATCTACTTTATATGCAGATTTAAATATACCGGTTATTATGACCATGTCTGTGACGCTCAAGTTCAGACTCTATTCTCAAATTTTCCATTTCATCCATCTCACATATTGATTCTCGAATGTCTTCTACAAATTTGCAACGATCATGATCATTTCGAGCATTGAATGTTATTAACAGACGGCTATCTAAACGCTGTGTAAGCTTGATACCAAATTGATAATCTGAAATAGCAATAATTTTATTAAAAACCATGTTTTTATTACTTTAATTTTATGTAAAATATGTTCTTACATGGCATTTGAAACAAAGATACAGTTAGACCATTTAATGGATAACTTTGACGAAAGGTATAAGTTACTGAATTTTTCTTTTTGGAAAGTATTTTGGTAATGACTAGAAGATCGTTAAAGAGGAATACCTCTCGTTGATGAACACCAGGTCGTTCTTTTTTATATATATCAGCTACTTCATACAGTCTGCAATAGCACACTAACCGGCGATGTGGCAGCGCTAAATTCTGAAATATTTTAATTTTAATGATTTAATATCCAATAATATTATTAATAATGTAACCAAAGTGACAATATATTTAATTTCAAAGGAGCACACAACATAAAAAAAATTCACTTAAATATTTTTTAAATGTTAAATTATTGTAGGTATATAAAATGATTTGGTGAAAAACTGAAGTGAAAAAAATTATTACTTTAAGAGATATTAAATAGAGAATAACCGGGTGTTGTCATTGGGCTCGGCTCATAGTAATTGCCTATCTTATACGTGTAAAAGTTCCTTGCTACACACTTCAATTTACCAATCAAAAAATTTTATTTTTGAAATCTAGTTAACGTATATATGTGTGACCTTATGTGTTAAAGACGATAAAAGTATCAGAATTTCAATATAACGTTTAGTTTTTTAAATACTAATAAATCTTAAGTGATATTTTTGTTAAACGGCACTTCGTGGGCATTTAAATTTTAAATATACAATAAAAATTAGAAAATTCCCTTAAGATTTTTATTATTTAAAAAACTAAACGTTATATTGAAATTCTGATACAAGTATCATGTCAAACATTTAAAACCACATATTTATAAGTAAATTAATTTTCAAAAATAAAATTTTTAGGTTGGTAAATCGTTATGTGAAACGAGCAACTTTTACACATATAAGATAGGTAATTACGATGAGCCGGGCCCAATGGCGTCACACTCCTTTTTTCAATTGCTCATTACTCATTAGTCACTTATTGAATAATTTGAGTAGAAACCTATACAACCTATACAACATATACAACCTATACCATTATTCTAAGAATTGAACATTAATTCAAATTAAAAAAAAAATTATTTTTTGTGTTTTGTACTCCTTAAGTATTGAATGTAGCAACCGTTAAAAAATAAATTGATTGCCATGGGTTTTGAAGCTATTATAACAGACGAGGCCATATTGCATACGAGTCTATAATGAAGTACCACATTTTATGTCTTTGCTGTCCTTGCCATCATATGTAGCACATACCTAGATAATATCTATAGGGTAATTGATAAAATCAGTTGAAAGAATGTATGTCTGTCTGTGTATCCATATTACCATGGCTATCATTCATATATTATTTTGAGATTTCTGTCTGTGTGTATGTCTATATTACCATGGCAACCATTTATTTATTATTTTGAGATTTCCGTATATATGTGTCTTCATATTACCATGGTAACCAAATGTAACGTAACTTTTTTCGATTCTATGTGCCAAAGCAAAGACATAAAATGTCAAAATTGATTTAAATCTAATAAATTAGTTGGAAGTTCGTAAATTAAGATTTTATTATAGGCGAACGCACGGGTGCAGCAGAAGTTTCATGGGCTGCACTGCTACATTTTTTGAGCCAATTGATTGGTCTATGGGCCGGTCGAGCCAATTCATTATTTAATAATTTAATATAAATTATAAGTAAATAAAATTGATGGGGACCAATAAATAATTATTTTTACAGTGTAGACAAAGCTATCGGTTAATATGTTATTAAACAAAATATAAAAATAAAATGTATACTATAATACTATGTCTAAGTTCAATGTATTGGTTATGGTGATTGGCGGGAGGTGGTAATGGTTAGCAGGTTAGCTCTACTAGCTAGCCAGAGCGTCGGCTGCTTCCATTGGAATAAAGTATCACTACAATGATTGTTGTGTCTCGTTGCACACTAAGTCATAATAACTATAATAGTATCACAGATTATATAATCTGATATAATCTGTGATAGTATGTTTACATTTGTCGGTTGTTACAAAAATAAATTATTACATTATACTATTATAGCCAGCCACTTTGGTAACAATAACACCAGTGGCGGCTCGTGAGTTTTTAATGAATTAGTGCACATCCAATAAAAATATAACCAATATTATATATTATAAATTGTATTAAATAATTGTTTACAAATTCTAGTTATTCACATTTCACCAATTAGCTTTTATTTTGTTTAGATTTTTAAACAGAAATACGATCGTTGTTTTGAATTTTCGATAATGATTGACTAACATTATTAATCAGCTGATAATCGGAATATAATAAACGAATGAGAGTAAAAATAAATTATAATTCCTATGCCGACGTGCAAAGGTGAAAATAATTTGCTGATAACAATTTAATTGGTTATGTGCACAAAACGAATGTGCACTTCAATTCCATTATAATGCTAGATAGTGCACGTGCACTTGTGCCCATATACACTAGTCGCCACTGAATAACACAGCCTGCGTATAATATGATCAATAATTTTGACTGTTCAACATTCATTTGGCTGATTGTTAAAAATTGGGCTGCCTAATTTTATATGCTGCATCTGAAATTTAAGTCTGCGCACGCCTATGGATTTTATAATACTACAACTATTATGATTTAAGAATTACATAAAAATAAATGTAAAATCAACCAATAATAAGTCGACATGTAGACTTGTAGAATATAAAATATAATATTTAATGAATGAAGAGAACAGGATTCTGTAAATTATGATCGCACCATACATAATATAAAACATAATATATAAAAAACTTAGTTTTAATCCCTATTCAACTTAATTCAACTTACTGGCTTTTTGCCTACTACTGTTGACTGCACCTTCATAACTTGAGTAACATGATCTGATCCAGGTTTGAATTCATTTGCTTTAATTCGTTCATAAATTCCAACTAACATATCTCGATCAATATCACAACAATCATCAATACCTAGCAAGAGTGGAACACAAACATTATAAATATATTGTTATTAACAGTACAGCAAGTATTTTCACCTCTTAGATTTTTGATAAAATCATTCATTTTCATTCGACGTTCTGGCTTTAGATTAGGTGTATGCAAATCAGTATTGAGCATGATGATTGCAAATGCTAATATAAATACTGTGTCCAAGTTTCTCAATCTAGCCACAACATCTCTGTTGCAGTGGCAATATCTATGGCTAAAAACTTCGATGATTCTTTCAATTTTTTGTGCTTCACCAGGCATACGGAAAAAAGTTTGAAACTTGCGTAGTGCAACATCCACCTGCATACCAGAGAGATCTATTTCTTGAGCAAAATACCTAAAAAAAAAATTCAAGTTTTACTATAAAATAAACTACAATAATTTTAAATTTAATTACTCTTGTCTAAAATGTATTTGTTGGAGCATAATTATAACTAAGGATTATAATCTAAAAAGGTAAAATAATAGACATAAAAGAACTTTTACTTTAATTTGACAACTTTATAGTTTTGAATATAGAATATGAGTTTAAAATCATTCAAACTATTCTAATTTATTATGATTCAAATTTTTTTATTTGATTTTTTTTTAATGACAGAACTTACTCCAAGGCAGCTGCATTAAATGAATTTTGTAAATCTCCTAAATATTCGCCAATCATTTGTTTGCTTAAGCCTTTCCGAGATATTAAAAATCTTGCAACTGCATGGGGGGCATTATCCAAGAATCCTTTGCGTACAAGGTAAATAATACCTTTTGAAGGTTTCTTATTAAAGAGATTGAGACCAATACGATATTGACGTTTTCTGATCACATCAGAAATCTAAGAACATTATTTTTGTATTAAAACATGAACATGTAAAATTAAGAATGAAATTAATCTAAAAACATACAATTTGCAACAATTTTTTGTAACATACAAAAATATATATTATATACCTGTGATTTTTTATTCCAAGACACAATAGAATTTGACAACAAGGAAGAGTCAATTGAAGAATTTGTTTGATTTAAATTGTGTGACTGACTAGAAAGACTACCATCGCTACCTGAAGATTGAACACTTGATAAGCTACCACTATCTGACATTTTGTTCAGTGTACCGGCTGCTATGTTTTGATGTTGTTCCCGTAAAGAGCGAAACGATATTGATGAAGTTCGTTTTGGAACTTCGGGAGGAACTTTATTTTTGGAAATATTAGATGGGTAACCAGTTGAACTCCCTGAAAACATACATGATGAAGAGCTACTACTCCCATACTGATTACAATCAGAACCAGAATGTGCTTGTCTATATGTGTCTGAACCATTGTTATGGCTGTTTCCACATAAAAAGTTAGGCATCATCTGATGTGCCACTTGACTAGTGATATCGTCCTGGAAAAAAAATTGTTCAGATGCTGTATCTGGGTTCATTGTACTGACATTGTTTACTTTCATATCGTTATAGGAGTAATTATGTGAGTAGAAGTGGGAACATGAAGATTCCAAGCTGTAATAATAATTTAAATCGCACCGCCCAGATCTAGAACGTGGAAGAGAATTACACTTGGTTGGTGAGTAACCCGATCGTCGTTCTCTTAATGACCCTGATCTTATACTCAGCTGGCTATCATGAGATCGTAAACTTTGCGTATCTTCCAATCGTTTACTAAGTCTTTTTTCAGCTTTTGCCATTGCTGTGATATGAGCAAATTTTTTGACCAGCATATAATGTCTGAATGCTCGTTGAATGACTAGAGCAGCTTGTCTGGCTCTGTCACCTCCATATTTTCTTTCTAGTAACTCAATCTGCTTTTCAATCAAATCTTGTGATAACTCATACCTTTAAATACATGAAAATGAATTTAGTCATGTTGGTTACTAAAAATATAGGTACAGAAACTTACGAGGCAGATGTATGAAATTGTTCCGGTTGAACCATGTTATTTTTGGACATTGTGCCGGTCCAATGACTATATTGTTCACATTGGTTCAAAAAATTTCTATTATTGCTTTTGTCATACTTGTCTTCTCTGAAAAATAAAATAAATTTAATTATTAAATATTAGGTAGTCAAAATGTTTTAATATTCTTCTAATATTGCTGAAACTAGATACTATAAATAATTTACACTAAATTCATAATTAACTAGTTTCACAATAGCTCTATGTATAAAAATAGGCCGTATATTTTTCCAAAATAATCTCCATAACTAATTACTTGACATAGGCACTTGCAAATTTTTCAAAAAAAGCAATAGGCAATCCATATTATATAAGTTTAATTTAAAAAAATTATAGCAAAATAATTATGCTCGTCAAGTTAAATAGTTATCTAATTGTTATGGAATTGTATGAGGTTTCACTAATAACAAGTAACAACAAATTAATATTTTAAATAACTGCAAATAAGAATAAGAGAATTATTATACATAAAACAAGAGCATTTATTAAAAACTGTAACCATTTTATAAGTGAATATTTAAATAGAAACTGTGCAAGACTGCAAAATGATATGTACACTAATAAAATATAATAGTTTTTATCAGACTATAAAAATAAATAATGAATCATTGTCATACCTACAAAGTTTATAATTTGTTTCAATAAAACTAAAGAGTCCTTGAATCCCATAAAATACAAATACCTAATGTACATAGAAAATTATGACTTAATCCAAATTCTGATTATTTAAAATATTATTTTAAATTTAATAATAAAAACTATCAAGTTGTAGTAGTGGTTCAAGGTACCAAACACTTTTAAATATGTATTAAATATTGATCAGCTTTTAAAAAGCATTGAATAGTCTATTAATTAATTATTGACTATTTGTTGGACACTATCAGTATAACAATATTGACATTTTTAATCTGTTCAACAGAAATTATTCTCACAAAAGAATCCTAAAGAAGGCTTTATAGGTTGGTACAAATGTCACTCATAAAAATACGAATGTGTAGAAATTAAAATAACCTGATAGAGGTAGGTACCTACTTAACCTAATTAACCTAATAGTAGGTACATTTGATATGCAATAGGAACAAATTAATTTAATAAATTAATTACCTAGGTTTTACCTTCATTTAATAATTAAATAATACCTACCTAAATAAGATAATTTAAAAACTACAAATTTTACCGCATTTATAATAATTCAAATTAGGTAGTTGCAGTTGGAAGTTAGGCAAACATTTAAAGTAATTACTAATAATTAATACTAAAATTAGTGTTGGATAAATATTAGAAAAAATATGATGAGTTATCATTTGTAATGCCATTCAGAGATTTTTCACTAACAAAAGATAACCTTGATTGGATGAGAATTTATAAATTTGAGCAAAAGGTATTAACCTAGGATATGTTCAAGATTTTAACAGAATAAATGAGAAATGTATTAAAATTGAACATGGCAAATGTAACAAATCGATAAGTAAATGTGTGCGTGTTTACCTGGTGGTGGTGTCATGGGACATCATGCGCTGATCGTAGAGTTCCATATCAAATTTGAGACGGCCGACTTCGCTGAGCAACATGTCCCTTTCGTTCATCACCAGGTTCAGTTGCGTCCTCAATTCGTAAATCTCTTGGCACTGTTGATTGATGATGTCCATGCTCTCCTCCAACGGAATGCCAACGTCGTACGTTGCAAGACCGCTGTGCACCTGACGGCAGCCCAATCCATTGGTGGGCTTTTGTAATCGCTTATTGTCGTCGCACATGTCCCAACGAATACTGTCACATAATAGCACTCCCTATCGAAGGGTCGAGGGCGGAAACTCGCTGAGTCGTTTTTCGCCGATGGATCTCGATATGATCAGTGCGATGTCACAGCCGTCGTCAAACTCGATCTCGCGCGGATTGGAGACACTTTGGTCAGTGGATCGCTAAAGCCGCAGGACGAAACTCGACGGAATAAAAACAAATGGGCTACTCAAACAAAACACTTAAAACACTGACGGGACGACTTCGGTGAGTTACCGTCTCATCGTTGATAACAACTGATATTGTTGTTATTATTATTATTATTATTATTATATAAGCAGGTTCATACAACTACATAACACTATTATTATATAAACGCACTCGACGGTCGGGTCGGCTGAACGGTACTACAACTGACAACAATAACAAAATACAATGAATTATAACAATTAATATGAATACAATATTAACAAAATCATTACGCCGTGTGCCGTACACTTATACAGTTGTACGTCGCGCCCGACTGTAAAGACGGTCGACGGCAACGTTATCTCACGTGCCCACTCACTGGGAGGGATCGGCAGTGCTGTTGGTCAGAGCGCGGTATACGGTAACCTTGATGTTATTGCCTCCCGGCAGCTATTCGCCAATAACACACGCGCACACAACAGTACAACACACACGAACGACGACGACGACGCCGCCGCCGTCGGTCGCACAACACACAATAATCCATAATGCTGTCCAGACACCGCCACTCCTCCTCCACCGTAGTCCAACTATCCATTTAGGGGCATCTGCTGCCGCCACCCGTAATACTATTATATTATTATTATTATCTGAACGCTCTGTGCTATACACGTCGGCTACAATAATATTATTATTATTTCTTTTTAACTGCTGTAGAGAGGTAGGGCCAAAACTGGTTGTTATGTTCGTATATATATAATATTATAGGTATTTATTGTGTAAATGTGTGTATACAGGGACCTACCACCTACCGCTATGATGGTTGAACACGAAAAATATTTTTGAACAATATTTGTTTCGATAAAAACACAAATATGTGACTTACTCAGTTATTCATAATATATATATATATATTATATTTTATACCGACATACCGGCAGACGGCCTTCTGCGGCGTCACATTTTTTACTAATCCAATGGTCCGAATGTCCGATAACATTAATATATTATATAAAAGTAGAATACACGTATACATGAAATAACATGATTTCACGTGTTGTAACGTGCACCGTGTGATGCTTTTGCACTTTGTTCACAAGCACGGTGTAGTCGATATACAAAATATTATGTACCTATTGACTTGTATAATCTATACAAATAAAAATAAATCGATTGGTGACACCATAACTTGAAAACAGCTGCTGGACCGATTAGGCTATAATTTTTTTCTTCAAATATTCCCATAGTTTAAGAAGAAAGTTTTTACGGAGAAAAAGAAAAGAAAAGTTGCTTGGTAAATTGGTAAAAACGAAAAGGCCTTTTTCAATGAGATTTTTTGTTTATAAATGGTTACCCTGTTACATATTATTAAATACAGTAATAGTAGAAATTATAATGTTTTGTTTTTTTAAAAAAAAGTAGGTAGCCATTTATGTTATTCGGACAGATGAGGTAAAACTGTAAAAGCATTTGCATCAAATTGTCGTTAATGGTATAATAAAATTCTTAAAACAATAAATATGAGAATTTTTTATAAAATGTTTGTTGCCTATAATAGAGTATAGACTCAAAAACCACAACTGATTTTTACGAAAAATGAAAATGTCAATGATTGTCCTTACAATTATTAGAAAAGTTCAGAGAGTAATTTGAATTGCACTTTCGGAAATGTACAAAGAGTGAAAAATCTGAACTGAGGTACACCAAACCGATACGCCAATAAAACGCCATATTTTTTATTAATAATGTTAATTGACGATTTTTGGACGAGTGAAGTCGGATTATACTATACTAAAAAATCACCTGACAAGCGATGGCACATTATATATTTGTATCCAATGGTTGGATTGAGTAAAAACAACAAACTTGTTTTTAAAAATGAAAGTTTAGAGTTGGAAATTATTAATTTACGTACGCAGTGGCATAGTGTAAAAACCAAATTTTTGACCCCCCCCCCCAAAAAAAAAGTATATTTAAAAGGATTTCAGCGAATAATATTTTTTAGGATGTGACATATCGGTCTGTCTAAATATTGTTTCAAAACAATTTAAATTAATAATTTTTTTTTTTAATTCTAATATTAATGAAAATGAAATATAAAACATATGAAGGGTTAAGGGCAAAAACGATAATAGTCAATATTCCTAAAATGTTCAGTATTAAAGTTGGACTCTTGCCTTTTTTATGTATAATATGGTAATATTTAAACCTGTATTATATCATTGACCGTGATCTTTTTTCCATAACTCGATTCACGTGTCGATTCGTCATGAAACTAACCAAAAGGTACTATAATTATTTGATTTTTTTTTTACTATGATCGTTTTTCCCCGTAACCCTTCATACGTCAAATAGGCATAAGCCGAAATCATAGTCCGGTTGGAAGGGGAAATATAGGCGCTACATACAACATACATTGTTGAAAAAAATAGCTTTTCAATTAATAAAACTTTGCCACATCTAATTGTACAATAAACTAGATTGCTAACCCTAACCGATGATAAGAAGAGAAGTTGTTATCCGCCATTTAAATCGAGGTCGATGGAGATTTTTTCATATCAATTTTTATCATTATACTCCTTTCCTGTCTCCTGACAATCATGTATTTTTAGTTTTTTATGCAATATTTTGAATAATGACTTGTAAGTAAAGTTGTCTGTAAAACTTGTCTTGTGTATATAGTGACTAATGACCAAAGCTGGTGGGTAGAAATGGGTAGGTAAATATATTTTTGGTAAATTCCCAAATATAATATATAGGTACCTACCAGTAATATATACGTACCAGTTATTTAAAAAAATACCATGTATTTTGGATAATTGCTTCAAACAAAAATTATTCAATAACATTTGTTTATTTATGAACAAATGTAAGCTGTGATTCAAGTCTATAAAGAACCATATGTGCATAACAACATTTAATCAAATAATTACATTTATGGTGAAAAGTTGACAAGATAATTTTTTTTATTATTGAAAAACTATACATCAATAAAATAAAAAAAAACTTAAGACCAGAAAAAAATTAAATGTTTATAAGCTCGTTGCTGTTATGTTATAAGAAAAAACAAAATACAATTTATTAAAAATAAAAATATGTTTTTTCAATGTAGTAACAGAATGCAATAAGTAATACCTAATAATTTCTCCAAAGTTATAACCAGTGGCGCCGAACCCTATATTGAGGTCGGGCCTTGGCCCGACATCTTTTGAAAAATTAGGATGGGGCCGTTTTCAGAAACAAACAAAATTTGCTCTAATCCGTCTTAGTTGGTGGGGATTACACAAATGTGTGATTTAAATTTTCTTTTAAAACTGAAAATCAATAATTTTTAGGTAAAAACTAATACCTCCTCGGTCCTCCACCCTTTTATGTACGTCATTGGGGCTAATATTTAAATATTGGGGCCGTTTCAAATATTTTTTGCCCGACTAAATTTTTAGGACTTCGGCGCCACTGGTTATAACAAAGTAATAAAAAAAAGGCGATCTGCTGTACAGTAGGTTATAAGTGGGTCACTGTATAATGGATGGTATTGTATTTTTTAGATTTTTTGGTATCATAATTGAGTATTTACGTGGAATCTTGTTTTAAATTTTCAATCCTTAGATATAAAAGTTGAAAATTTTAAAAATTCTTAAGTACAAAATAATTATTCAATTTTAAATTTGATACATTTTGTCAAAATTCGATGTTTAAATGCTTATAAAAAAAAAATGTACCTATGGATTTTTAATTTTTTTCAACAGATATTGTAACAATATATCAGAAGCCTTGAAAATTGAAAATGTCCGTAAACAGCTCAAAAAGAGTCAAAATATTTTCAAAATTGTATGGTGTATAGGAAATTCTAATATAAACATTCAGTGAAATTTTCATGTATCTACAGTTATTCGTCTTTGAATTACAACAAAATAAGTAAATCGCTACATGAGAAATCGAGTGAATATCCAATGTTGTAAAAATTTGAATTTCAAACGCTCATAAAAATTTAATTTGACTTTCTTATAGATATTTTTTGATAAAGGTAGATAATCTTATAAGGAATCTTGTATTACATTTTAAAATCTTAGATTTAAAAAGAAAAATTTTTACGAATTTTTAACTCAAAATAATTTTGCTAATTTTTATGATATTTCCATACTTATTGTCAATTTTTGAATTTTAAATGCTTATGAAAAAAAACTGTTACTAAGGATTTTTAATATTTTTCATCTGTCTTTGAAACAATATACTAGGAGCCTTCTATTACATTTTCAAGATTTTATAACCAACAAATAAAATTTTATTGATATTTTTAGAATAAAAATTTTAAAAAAATGGAAAATGAAAATGTTTCTAAACAGTTCAAAACAAATCATAATATTTCAAAAATTTGATCGTGTATAGAAAATGCAAATATAAACAACCGGTGAAAATGTCATGTATATACATTCATTTGTTTTAGAGTTACACCAAAAACCAAAATTGATTTTGTGGATTCCCGTTTTTCCTTAATTTTTATGTTGCTTTACCCGGCGCTTGTGATAACTATTGGGACTTTTAAAATTTGACCTCCAGAATGCACCAACTAGATTCACTTTCCTATCGAACAAGATACTGTTGAAGAACATCGAAGCAGTTTTATTGCCCTAAACCGTAATGACAGACACAAAAATTAAAAAATTAAAAACACACATCATTATAAAATCAATACATTCATCGTTCCACTCTAAAAGTGCCATAGAAATATAAGATAGCAGTTTAGCTATATTAATAAAAAAAAAATACCTAATTTTGCAAAGGTAAATATGTATAGTATTTATCCAATATAAAATTATTACCCGAT